TTTAAATTGTCTTTAACAAGAAAAAGTGTATGTTGAGCACCAACTGATATTTGTTGAATTTTTCGTTGTTCTAATTGTTTACTTTTGATTAACGTTGGTACAAAAATATCATCATTTCCATGACCTATTTGACATGTATCACCCATACCAAATGAATAAATTTCTCCATATTTATTAATAACAAATGAAACACTACCACCAGCAGCAATATCAATAATATTTATTAGATTATCAATTTGTTTAGGTATAATTACATCATTATTAAGATTATTACCTAAACGACCATCATCACTTCTTCCAAGTCCATAAACATATCCCATTGAATCAAGTATAAGTGTATGTTGAAGACCACAAGATATTTTTATAATTTTATCTACGAATGAAATTTCTTTGATTTCCATTGGTAAATAAATTGGTTGTTTTGATGAATGACCTAGTTGACCAAAACTATTAGCACCACAAGAAAAAAGATGAATTGTTGAATTTTGTGTTAAAACAAAAAAACCATGTCCACCAGCCCATATATTCAATATATGTTGTCCATTAAAACAAGAAATTTGAGAAAGTTGTAACCATATTGAAACATTTTCTTTAGGTTCAAGATGAACATCCCGACCTAATTGACCTGTTTCATTATTTCCAAATGAATAGAGATCACCTAATTAAATAGAAAATAAAAATTTGTTTATATGTTGAATAGAAACGTTTAAAATAAACTAAAACTTGATGGCTCAACATTAAAAGTAATTTTTCATATTTTTCACAAAGTTCCTCACTATTCTTGAACAAAAATAGATACAATATTTCTAAAAGAAAAAACTTCTTCAGCTGTCTTCTTCAGGTTTTAATGTTTTTTTGGCTTATAGATACTATGTAGTGTTCTAATAAAAAAATCTAAAAGGATTTGAGTTCCGATTGATATATGACTGAAGCCATCGAATTTTTAATATGATTATTTTCTGCATTTCAGGTTTTTGAAAAACTCATATTTATAAATTTTAATCTGAAGCTTTGTGCATATAAAGAATTCAAGTAGACAAGCTTCTGTAAAAAATGCAGAAGTGTTAAACAATGTCTCTTCCAAAACATAAGCTCTGTTTCATGGATAATGTATATTACAAACATTTTTTGAAAGTTTCATTATCTCGAAGAGATGTAGTTCAAAACTTTTACATTTTTTTTGTGGAAACTCTTCTATTCAAGTTCTATGTATGCATAAACTTTCAAATACAAAATTTGAAAACATGAGTTTTCCAAAAATCTGAAACCTCTAGAAAGAAAATTTGATAGTTTACTCAATTATCATTAGGAACCTATATCCTTCTAGAGTGTTTATGAGAACACTATGTAGTATCTATAGGCAAATACTTATTATAATCGAAAGTAGACAGCTGAAGAAGTTTCATTGTAAGTCCATATTCGAAAAGATCACAAATTTCCTCGTAGCTTTCAACTGTTTCTAGCAGGTAAAGTAAACAAACATCTTGTCTAAAAACTTTTTGATCAGAGATTAAATAATCTATATAAAAAATGAATATTATTCATAAAAATGATTTTCTTTAATTTTCATTAAACAAAAACTAGTACCGCTTTCTGTTAGTAAAAGACAAAAATCAGCACCACATGCAACTTGTTTAATCGGTTGATTCAATGGAATAACAATTGATTGTTGTGTTATTTGTTTATATTCGAATAAACCAAGTAAACCTTCACTACATCGAAAACAACCACTTATATAAGCTCGACCAGATTTAGCTAAAGCAACAGTAAATGTATCACCAGCACAAAGACTTTTAATTTCTTCTTCAGGTAATACAAATAAACCAGGAATGTACTCATCATCAATATCATCTGTTATTCGACCCAAGGCTCCGTCATCATTACAACCCCATGTATAGACATAACCGGTTATGGTTAATGCACATGAATGCATACCACCTGCGCATATATATTGAATATTTTCATCTTGATTAACATTGTTGACAATTTTTAAATACTGCGGTTTACGTCGTTCGATAATGGTTGTTGATAGACCAAGTTGACCACAAATATTTTGACCACAAACAAGAACAAAATTTTGAGATTCATCAGATATTTTTTTTTGTTTTTTCTCAATTGTTATATTTGATGTTGTCTCTTTTGATAGACAACGTTTAGCATTTACATAATGATGAGGATGAGCATGAGTGAACATTGTCTGTATTTTTGATTTAAGATTATTTGCATTTGGAATTGAATTAGTTAGATATAATTGAATTTTTGATTGATTCCATGAATTATTGAATTGGTTATTTGATGGTATTGTTAACATTTGATATGATTTTAATTGTATAGATGAATCAATATTCATTCGAATTCTCCAACTCATGATTATATATATGTATATATACAGTAAAAGAAAAATGATTTTATTTTCGGACAGTTCGCGCGCTCGATAAGCAAACATATTAAATTTTATTTTATTTTTTTAAATATCAAAATATCATTAAAAAACTTGTGTAAAAATGAAGATTGTTAATCGTTTTTAATTAACTCAAATAACGCGAAATATTTCACTAAGTGAATTGCTCATGCGTAAATTTGGTGCTGTTGAACTTTTAACAACCTTTTTTAAATCAATAGGAATAAGCCCAATTGATGGTTTCAATTGTAGATTTTCAATTGGTGTAAGATTTTGTTGTCTAGATTGTTGATTTTGTTGTAGATATGTAGCAGTTGGTTGAATGAGAGACGGTTGCTGATTTTGTCTTTGTTGTTGTTGCTGTTGTTGTTGTTGTTGTTGTTGTTGTTGTTGTTGCTGTTGTTGTTGTAGATATGTAGCAGTCGATTGAATGTGAGACGGTTGCTGATTTTGTCTTTGTTGTTGTTGTTGTTGTTGTTGACGTTGTATTTGTTGTTGTCCTTGTGGAGTCATCGAATGATTATTACCTATCATACCAAGAGGCGTCGATGGTGAAATTAATTCAAAGGGTAACTCTTGCATTGATTTTGTTGGATTTGCGTGAAGTGGTCTTGTCCGAAAGAGCCATGGACTATTAATACCGTTCTTCTCGATAATGGTCATTGCAAGAAATGGTACTCGACGAGCAATATCAAATAGTTTTTCTAAGTAATAGAAAATAAAGATTTTCATTATAATTTTTCAGTACAAAAAAGAAAAATCAATCGACCTGGTTGAAGTTTTCCACCAGATAAATGACGTGTCAATCCTTCAAGACTTGGTGCATCTAAATAAATAAAAATAGAATCAGATTTTAACATTTTGAAATTTAAATCAATAAAAAAAGTATATAAAACTTACGTGCTACTATTAAAATAGTTCCACCTGTAGCTTGATGTCGTTCTGTAATTTGATCCATAAGTATTCGACATCGTTCATAATAATCAGCTTGACTATCATGTGGTCGCATAAATGGTGTTAATGGTTGATAAGATTGATCAATATTGTATCCATTAGTTGCTAATTCTTCTTTTGTCATAAAACATAATGTACGCTTAAAATCATTTAAATAACATTCAAATAAACCAGGTTCCTATTTAATTAACATAAATATTTAACAAATAGATTCTAAATATAATTTAAAAATATAACTTACCACTTGCATCGGTATAGCTTGTTTACCCATACCAGCTAATATTCCATTAGCACTTTGTACGCATCGTAATGATGGACTTGTATAACAGATATCAGCTCCATATCCATTGATTAATAATGCTTTACCTGTTTTTATTGCATGCATACGGCCACGATTGGTTAACGGTACATCAATAACATAATGATGTAAATAAGAACGATGCGGTAATCTAAAATGAATACATTATTGCGTTAAAGAAAAAAAAAAACATTTTGTTTTTCTATTTAACATACGCTTCTGGTAAATGCTCACTAAATCGTACGTAACGACCATTTCTATCAAAACTTTTTTTTGACCAATCTGAACCTAAAACAGCATCAACTCGTTCAGCATGACGAATAATAATGATACGAAGTGGTTTTGTTGGCGATGATTGAGCTGATATATTTGTTGATATTGGTTGTAATACTCGTTGATCAATTGGGGGAGTATTCTGATGTTGTTGTACATATCTATATAAGTTATCACCTGATGGTATATACGAAGTGTTTTGTGATGTAACTACATTATTATCTATTGGTAATTGCTTCTAGAAATAAAATAAATACGCATAATATAAAATTATGAATAGCAATATGCACACCTGTGCAGCCATTAATTGACGTTCTTGTTCCATTAATTGCTTCAATTCATAATCAAAATTATCTTGTGTAATATGATTGCTGGTTGATGCAGCCACTGATGCTGGTCGGCGATTACCACTAATATTATTACTGTTGAGAAAATGGTGAGCCATGGAAAAATTAAAATTAAAATAGTGCTATATACTGAAAATAAAGACGATGGTGTTTTTTTTTGTAAAATGAGCACAAAAATCTATCAGACTGTTGTGTATCGAAAAAGAAATATATATGCTAAGAAAGTAATGAATGATGTATATGAAAAAAAATATAGGTATAAAAGCGTCAATATGAATAGATTTGTATACGCAATCATCTTTTTCTTTGATAGATAAAATACATAATCATTCACTCGATCGTATACAAAGAAAATATATACATAGAATTACCTTGTGTTTCAGTAGACAAGGCTTTTATACTCAACACTAGGACCACAGTATTACGTATAAAAGGTTTATGTATGACATACAAATAGCGAAAAAAAAGTGAGGGCAACTACATATACTTTTTTATCTTCACCTGTTTATTGTTGCTTATATATGTCATTCATTTAGATTCTTTTTTTTCTTTTTTTTTTTTTTTCTTATATCAAAAACAAATTTATTCGACTGTACATATGCATACAAAAAAAAAATACAATCACACAAATATATTAAATGAATACATAAATCAGAAATTATATAGTAAATTTTGAAAACAAAATCACAGCTATCGACTAGTGAAAATAATAATATTAAATTGCATTTTATGATCGATTACCAGCATGCATCTGAACATATTTAGTTAGAAAATCTTCTGTTGCTATATTTGGTATTAATAGTTCAATAAATAAATCAAATAAATTACAAATAAAATGTCTAAATAATATAGAAAAACAAAAAGAAGATAATTTTTTTTTCTAAGTATATTCAAATAAAAAATACAAACTTATTCAGTTGTTCATGGCTTAAACATTCAAGGACATTCATAATAATACAACGAATATTTTCTTTACCAACAATATATTGAAGCCAATCTTGTAATTTTCAAAATAAGAAAAATTTAAAAAACAGAAAAAAAAAAACGTTCATACTTGGAATTTGATTCATACAAGCATTATATGCTCGATGTTTAACATTTTTCATTGGTATAACAGTATTATTATCATCATCAGGCCAAAGTACTTTTGTACGTAAATCAATTAAATACATAAGAATATTTTCACGTGAAAATATATCATCGATTTGATTTTTTAAAAATCTAGAAAATCATTTTTATTCTTATATGTGAACCGAAAAAAAAAACAAACTCTTCAATAAAATGACCAAAAACTGTACGAAGAATTTGATGAATTGATTGATAACTAATTATTGCATCAGAAGAATGTAAACATATATGAAGTAAATCAAGTACTGCATCCGTTAAAGGTATATCTGAATCTAATTAAAAATAAAAGAATTAAATTTCAATAATAAATTTTTTTCTTTTTTTGATCTTACGAATTATTTTATTTCGACGCGATGTTGCTATCGATGAACGTGTTAATAATGTTTGTAAAAATGTTGAATCTGTTGAATGTAATTGTACTAAAGATGATGGACATCGAAATGATGATTGATGAATATAAAATTTTAATTGTTTCAATGTAGATGATGTCTATAAATAAATAGTTGTCTATAAGATGTTCAAACAAATCTATCAAAAAAAAACTATCAACCTTTTCAACCTGTCTATCTGCTATGATCTATAAATTATTTTTACGTATTAGTATTATGATGATTATTCATGAAAGCAAGGACATCACGTATAATGAAATAACATAACGATAGGAGAGATTCATTAATTTGATATACTATGAATCATATGAAGATATGAAGGGTTATTGTAACCTGTAGGAAAGGATAGAACAAAGATTTGAAAATTTTTCTAAATCAGAATCTAGAATACGGAAAAAACTTATCCTGCATATCTCTAATACGAACTAAGATAAGACAAAAATGAAAACGTTAACATTAAGAAAAAAAAAACCTATTCTTGAATAAGAACGTTTTGAATGTAATTGATGAATTAATTGAAGACTACATATCAAGTCCTGCTATATTACGACAATTTTGTGTAAGATAATGATAATAACTGATTAGAAATGATGAACACTAAATGAACGAAACGGATAGATAAATAATAAATAGCTAATTAACAGTGTCGTCACAGTCTTATATTATTTGTTATGCTTATCTCTTGCCAAAATAATAAAAAACAAAAAAATATTTTTAATTATACACTAACACGAATATTCGATTGTATATTTTGATGTTTATATGTTCTGCTAAAAAAAAAAAGATGTTTTTCAAATTGAAAAATTTAGAAAAAAAAACTTGATAAACAAGTTACCCATCTAACCTGTGCAAATCGATCAAGAGAACGTTTTTAATTGATCAATCGTCTTTTTAACGAAAGATACTAGATTGTAAGTTATCGATCATACTGATTCTGAACATGACCATGAGAAATCTTCTTTAAATTTCATATCCTGGTTTTCTGAAAATCGGTTTTTCAGACTAATATATTATACAACAGATACATATCAACATTATTATGTGACCATCTTCAAAATGATATCACTTCTCTTAACACTTATTTTTCGAAAACAGAAAAGATTATTTGCTTATAGACAATATGATATACTCTATAATCTGAATAAATCAAAAACAAGTTCAACAAAATGCTTTTTAGTCTAGCAAATCAGTATATAAAATTCCAAGAAGTTTTCTCATAGTCATATTCTGAATAATTCTGAGATTTATTAGCAATTGAAAACGTTCCATGGTTAGTCAAACTTGTCCAGTGAAATATATATTGAAATATAATCAAATAGAAAATTAAATTATAAAGAAAATTATTCATTTATTTATTGAAATTTATTTTTCTTTACTCTTTTTTTGACTTTCAAAATGATATGATTGAATAAATATTCATTATTTTAGTTTTATATTGACACAAAAGAACTTTTTCAAGAGATGAAAGTTTTATAGAAAGTTAAATTTAGCATTAGAACATTAAATAAAACCTTGTCGTTCATTTGTACTTGAAATGAACTACTAGACTCTCACATTATTTCTTTTTTCAAAGAAGATTTCTCACATAAGAAAATCCGATTTAAATCGACATTTTGTTTTTTCTAACTAAATCGATTAAATGATAATAATTGATTACCATACAAGTCTAATTTTAATCTTTCTTAATTGACATTAAGAAAATATTTCAATTGACCAAAATAAAATTGAAATCTATCTTTACAGTGAAAGAATCATATTTCAATAATAATTAAAAAGCATAATCGATCAGACACTTCGAAATTGATTAACGATCATTTTACTCCGTGAAAGCTAATGTTAATAAATAATAGTCTTCAAAAAGTTGAAGTACCCATTTGTACATCTTACTTTTTCAATTCAATAAGTAGTTCAACTTATCTCTCATGCTAGTTTTTCAAACAGTAAAATTATTTGTCCTTTTTTGAAAAAGAAATATACTTTTACTAGTACCATTCTCTAAGTTGAGCTGAGCTCTAATAGAGTAGAAGTCGAACTTGTCAAGCATAAATAATTCTTAGTTCAGTACAGATGAAATCATTAAAAAGTGACCCAATTTCGAGACAAGCTATTCATAGAGTATTTCACATGCTAAATTAATTTTTTTTAACATACATTTTCATATGTTGTTGAAATATTTAATTGAAATGTTTCATGTAATGGAGCTATTTCACGTTTAGTTGAACGTAATCTATTTAATCTATTTCCCATATCGGACAAGGTGCGAAGTAAAACCTTGAAATTTAAAAAACAAAAAAGAAAATAATGATACAGATAAATTCAATTTTTAATCAAAATTTACTCTATCAACACGTGGAACTGATAATTTACTTGGTAATATGCCAAATGGTATATTAGGATCAGAATTAAAGGCAAAAAATTCGAGTACATCATGTGAACAATTCAAAACTTCATTTGAAATAAGTTTCTAAATAAAACAAAAAAAAAAAAAAAAACTTTTATTAATATTATTTCCTTTTTTTTTTTCAATTCAAATAAAATAAATATACTTGAATATATTGTTCAAGTATATGTTTTCGTCGACGAATAACATCTGGATTCATATTATCAATTGGAGTAGGAAGTGTTCGAAAAACTTCATCAATATCTAAAATAATTTAAAAAAAAAAAATCTTTAATTGAGCTAATAAAATTCTATTCTAACCATAACAATGTCGACTAGTTATATGATTTTGTTGTAATCTTTTATGTAAATTTATAAATTCACGAAAACGTCTTGGAACTGTATATCGATGAGTAGCATCTGATGTAAATGGAGATTTTGTTTCACACTAGACAAAAAAAAAAAATTTATGCAAAAGAAAACAAAAAAGAACTCTAATTTTATCATATTTTCTATCTCTTATCAAATATTACTTGAATCAAATAAACAGTATAAGCTGCACCAAACATAGAATCATATGCTGTATCAGATGAAATAATAGTTGCAGAATAAATAATATGTTCTAAACGTGTTGATCGATGTTCATCATCATGATTTTGTTGATTAGTTAAATTTTCTGTAATTATTATAGGTTCATTTTCATTTTGATTTGTATTTGTTTCTAATTGTTTTTTTAAAGAATTTTCATTAATTTCAAAAGATTTTTTTTGTTCTTCAGTTTCCCATAAAAGAATAATTAAATAATAAATCATTCGTGGTTTAGAAAATTGATTAAATAATGGTAAAAAAATACAATTAACAATAATTTGTGTAAGAAATTCTCGTCCTGTACGACTACCAGAATAAATTTGAACTGGTTCAGGTATTAAATTTGTTAATAATAATTCAACAAGTGCTTTTAAATATATATGAATATCATTATTAATTAATGAACGATGCAAACTATTAATTTGAGAAAATTCTTCAACAAGTGATTTACTTAATCGATTTGGTTTACGTTGTTTTCTATATGAATCATATGCACGTAAATATTCTTTCATATGTTGTTGTTTTAAATTAATTATTAAACGAATTATATCATAAGATTTTAATAATTTTAATTGATCATTTAAACGATTTAATATTATATGAAATATAATCATTAAATCTTCAGGAAATTCTTGATCTGTTGATATTAATGGATAATACCAAACACATATATAACGTGCAATTATTGTTCGAATATATGTATCATATTCTTTATGTATTGTTGTTTCATATGAATTATATATATCAATAGTTTCTTTTATATTATCATCTTGTTTATATGATCGTTTTCGAATAAGAAGATTGTAAATATAACCAGAAAATTTATAAGGTGATTGATTAGAATGACATAAACGTTTTATAGAAAAATTAGCAAAAATAGTACTTAAAGGTAATAATAAGATATACCACCAATGATTAAATATCAAAAGTAAAATGAAAGATATTGATAAAATAATAAGATATTGTTGAAGAAAAGAAAAACGTTGAATGAAATTAAGTAGAAAATAATGAGACATTATATCTAATTAATTAGTATTTAGCTTTTATCTAGATTTGGAAGAAAACGATAAGTAAGTGCTTGCTTTTGACTTATGCCATTTCATTGACAGAGAAAAAGACAAGAACAACACAAATATACTTTGTTGATCGTAGGTGTCGCTCAAAATAGGCAATACTTAAAAATTGTACTATGAAATAATGTTATGTTACCTGTAATAACTAAAAGTTAGTGGCAAAGCTTAGAAGTGACTCGAGAGAACGTTTCTAAATGCTGAATCGTTTTTCAATCACAGCTATGCGCATAATGCAAGTTCTTATTAGCTATGAATAAGTTAAACAGAGGGTTCCAATTAATAGCTTCTTGTTACCGAGATACTGTATTTTTTTATCAGAATATCACGACCTTCTTCAGGAAACATCAAGAAGACTGAGGTTCGAGTTTTGATTTCAGACTTTGAAGAGAGACAAGCCTTAATAAGAATAAGGTTATTGTCAAAGTTTCAGATGTTTCGATTGCATCGATTCTGAAATAAGAACATCAGAATTAATCGTTGTATATGAATGGTGTGAAAACATGCTTTCACTATAGCCGTATCTCAAGATAGAATCAATTGAACGATTTAAAACTTCTAAAAAAAGATATTCTCGTTAAGGCCTCTCTCTATGCAAAGATTCAGTACTAAGCTATTAGTTCGAACTCTTTTCAGGATTTTCATAGCTCACTAGAATGTACATGATCCACATAGTCTAGAATCAAGAGCAATTTGACACTAGGAAACGGTTTATCATAAGCTTCTGCAAGAAATGTAACGCTCCTATATCTTTTTCAGACTTCAGCCAGTGGCTAAATCCTTCTATACAAGTTTCTTTTTCTGGGTTTGCCACTTCTAAAACTGAAGAAAATTTCTTTGTGCAAAACGAATTGATGCTAGATTAATGTTTAACGAAATTCGAATATTTTTCACATTATCAGATTTTCTTCTTCGTCAAACACCAATAGCACCATAGAGATTATAAAAGAATAGTAAAAACTAATAATTCAAGTGTCTGTCTATTTATATTCTTATCAATTTTTATTTCCAAATATATACTTCAAAGTTACCGTTTGCATATACTTTATCTTGCTCTACCCTTATAACTAAATTTAATCAAATGATATTAACAATGCATTTTACTAATCTTCATTAAGACATCTAAAAAAGATGAAGTGCAATTTCATATTCTATGCACATAGTATTTATATGAGATAACATGTAATCCATGTAGATCCGAAATAGTGACGTGAGGATTAATATTTAATCAAATCAGTAGTCTCGGTACTATTTTCCTCTATGGTATCTAAATTGAGATCTATTACTGAAAATCAAATGAACCACTTTTGTTTTAAAATTTTTTTTTTTTTTATCAAATAATTATCACTCATCACGAGTCTCACAAAATCTTTTTATAGTTAAAAGTTTTAGAATTGACAAATTTGATGAAGAAGAAATATAAATGTTAATGAATAGTTGAAAACTCGAAAGCGTTGTTATCTAATCTTTAGAATAAATTTATTATTCTATGCTAATATCTACATTGTATTCAAAGACAAAAAAAAATCCAATATCTTAATCATAATGCTGTCATCATTACTCAGGACGTGAAGTGTATAAAAAGTAAAATTATTTCCATTTTCTTCTTCTAGAAGAACACATTCTGTGATTACATAATTTCCATCTTGTGCTTCGAATATTTCAATAATTGAGTGATAAATAAGTATATCGAATTTGATTAGCTATTAGCTATTTAATATTGTTGTTGCTAACCAAACCATACCATGAATTGCTAAGAGTGTACAGCTGGTAAATTTCTTTATGATAAAGTTCGATCGATATAAATCTAAACAGGTTGTTGTTTATTTTTTTCATTGTTGTTTTCCATCTGATACATATAATAAATTGACATTCTTAAAAGTATTGTAATTGATTTAACAAAGCAATTATCATTAACTTGTCAATCTGTATCATATGTCCATGTTTGATATTTATTATCATAATCATAAGCTGATTCACAATATAATCATTGACTAATATTTAGAACACTAAAATACTTCCATCAAAGTAAATCTTAATTAATTATCACACTGTTATCTAGTCATATTGAAATATTAAAAAGATCATCTAAAAACTACTTCAATTTTAGAAGTGTTAATAAATTTTTGCCAATCACATTGATAATGTTGTTCTTAACATTCTGATATCTAATCCACGATGTGTTGAACCAACGGAACAAGATCATAACTCGTAAATATAAAAATCAATTTTATTGAATCAATGTAATCTATTATTCTAATATCATGATCAAGTAAAGATGCTTTTAACACAATATCATTTATTAGATTAAATAGAACTGGACGTTATCATGTCAATTTCAATCTATAATAAGAGAATTTAATGAAAGTTTTGTCCTATTTGTTAATATTGAATCACATAAATTAATTAGTTGAATCTAGCATTATACTTGTTTATATGCTTCTGATACACAGAAGCATATATTATAATTAGAATAACATAAACAATAGTTGTACTTCTAATCCATATTCCATTGATATGATATGTTTGATCAGATGCAAGAAGTATTGGTAGATGAATCCGATGAACTCTATCTTCACTATAGCAATGACCCTATTAGTGGAAAAAAAAGGATAATTAGATACGGTTGGATTCGCTTTGTCTCACATTGTACTTCTGACCAAATGGAACAGCATTTGGACAATATTTTTAGACCAAATAATAGTGTAACCATTGTAATATACAGGTCCATATGAATCATTGAACCAATTTTGACCAGGCATCAAATGATATTTTGGATGGAAAGAGTCATCAGCTAAAGTATAAACCTTTGAATAATGATATGATTATCGACATGAATAGAAATATTATTTGCAGATGTTTGTCTGTGAGTGTGTGCGTATGTTGTATAACTCAATATCTTTTATCTTATTATCTCTATTCAAATAATAATAGAATGTAACTTCGACAAAGAAAATTGAACTATTGTAATCGATCTATTGTTGATATGAAAAAGGATACAAATTAGTTGTTGTTCTATTGTATATGAATGAAATTATTTATTTAAATAGACTAATTTTTTTTGACAGAACGATTGTTCCTTCTTTTTCTTGCTTTACTGATAAACGATAAGGATGAAAGACAAAACAAAAATACATTAGTTTTTTCTTTTTGTATCGTATTGATTAATACTAGTGAATAAAGAAAAAAGAAAAGGTAATATGAGATATTTTATTTATATGTTAAAAAGCTTTCGCTTCTTAAGTAGATGATCACTCATCTCTACCGGATTAAGACCAGATGAGTAAGTGTACATTGTTCTGTTGGTTGTCATTTTTATGGCTACCTTATGACTTCGACTATTTTCATCGTCTATTACATGTTGAAGAGAGGAAGAGAGCGAGAGCGAAAAAAAAAAGAGTGACAAAGTATATAATCCTTTCTTCTCGATGAAAATGTCTGTTTGTTATGAGCTCCTTTTCTTTTTAGGATGTCTCTATATGATGATAGTGACGAATCAATCTTGTAAAACGTGTCGAGTCGAAGATCAAACGAATGGACAGATGAATGTGATGTACATAAAACGTTTCATGTTCATTAAAGAATATTTGTTATGACTATAACATATAACGACGTGATAATGATTTCAAATAGAAAGTGTCAGTTGCATACAAATATCGAAAGTACTTAACTCATTTTCTTGTTTCATTTACATACTAAAAAAAAAGTTGATAAATCATAGATCATCATCACTTTTCTTACTCTTTTTATTCTTTGTTCTAAAAATAAGTAAGATGATTTTATAGTATTTAATAAGACATATGTCATATTATTTCGTTTTTATGATTTGTGTTTTAATGGTTTTATTAAAATAAATTGAGAAGTTTTTTTTCTTTTCTTCTAAAATATTGCTGTCTTTATAATTTTCTTTTTGTTTATTGTCAATTTATTTGTCATGGTTGAATAATGACAAGTCAATGCTTTTTTTTGTTTAATTCTTTCCTTGTATATTTTCCATCCCATTCATTGATTTCTCTTCTTTCTCTTTTTTTTTTGTCTATATGTTCGTCCAGAAACGAAGAGAGAGAGAGCGCGCGCGATGACATTGAATGAGAATGGAAGAACAAAAAGAACGCGAATGTTCTCTTACAATAGATCCACATTCACACTTTTTCTCGCTGACTACACTAGTCACAGCGGTCAGTCAATCGAGCTCAGAACAACATATTTCTTTTCTATTGTTTTCTCTCTAACATAACATGAGTGGTCAATACATAAGAATCACTAGTTTTTCCTATAAGAGAACAATGTTTATTTCATATTGTAGATTATGGGATCGAATAAAGGTGGTTTTAGATCATTTGAATGCGATCTTAAAAGTGGATATAAACCAATGCAATGGCGATCAACAGTTTCAGCACCATTATGTGCACTGTGCAATAAGGCTGTTTTTCCAGCTGAAGAAGTTATTGGAGCTGGACAAAAATATCATAAATTTTGTCTTAAATGCAGTAAATCTTCATTTTATATTTTGTTTTTTATCATTTGTATTATTGATTTTTTAGTTTCATGTAATACTTTACTCAATTCAGGCAATGTAAATGAACATGATAAAAAGATTTATTGTATAGGATGTTATCGTCGTCAATTTGGTCCACGAGGAGGTTTGTATTAAATAATATATAAATTTGAAATAATAAAATATTTCAGTTTTTATAGTAGGCCGCGGTTTTGGAACAACATCATCAGTTAATTTAGAAACACCACCAAGTAGTCCAAGTTCAAATGGCATAAGATCTAATTTTCATAGTGAAATAACAGATAATATTGATAGTGTTCGTCACGAACGAAAAACATCAACAGGTTCATCACCATCTCGTACATCATCGGATGATGATTCACGTCATAGTAATTCTCTTATGAACAGTGTTACATATATTGGTGGTGTTACAACAAGACAAACAATA